CGTAGCATAATATGCGCCTTTGTACACCACACCCTCCTTGTTGACTAACTATAATATACTTTTTATCTTTGTGTCACTAGGATCTCAGGAAAGTAATATAAAGTGGGATGACCCTATATCTATATGGAATTGGATTCAACAATATAGACGACTACCAAACACACAACCAAACCCGTTCATTACAACATTTGGTGCAGAATTTGTTTTTTGTCATCGTGAAGATACAATTGATGTACTGTGGAATGGAGTTCAGAAAAAAAATGGGATCATGCAACGGTTTATAAATCGAAACAGTGCTGATAGAAATGTACATCCTGTTCTGTATCTTGGTGCTGGACCTGGGGCAGGAAAAACCAGATGTTTACAAGAACTTGAACATATTCTGCAGCAAAAAGCTAGCAACTCTGGAAATCCAGAAATCGCGTCAGCCTTCAAGAATGGTATATTTTTAAATGTTACTTATGGAAACAGTCATTCAGCTTATAAGGATTACATACTTGGTTGTGGGGAAACTTCATTGGCACTTAGAGTATTACATCGATATTTTGTGGATGGAAATCAAGATTTTCCCTTCGAATTAATGGAAATTCAGACAAAAACTGCAAGATTAAGCCTATTTACTGTATTACAAGTTATTTTACATGATTTACAATCTAGTTTAGAAACAATAGCGATTGTAGTTGGAGTTGATGAACTGAATAAAGTTTATGATATTGATCATGATTCTTTCAAAGAAATCATCAATCAAGTTGGTAGAAGATCTTGTGCAGGAGGCTGTCCTGCTCAAGTTTTTTTTGTTCCTGTTCTTGCAGGAACAATTGAAGGACCATTATCTGAGGTCATTATGCAGTCAATGCATGAAGCTTTGCCGTTACCACTACATCTTTTATTAGAATCCAATGCTTTTGAAATTGCAAGGCAGCTTAATTTTGATCAAAATTATATTAACCACAACTTGTACTTCAGACAATGTGTTGCTGATATTGGTGGTCAGGTTTGTGCACTGGAAATATTCTATGATTATCTACAAACTGAATCTAAAACCCGCCCTTTGGAAGATGTGGACTTAGTGGAAGCCATGTATACTCTTCATATCAGATTGAGTGATCAATATGAGTTTAAAAAATTTTCTCGTCAAATGACACCTATGTTGGCTCATGCAATTCTCCAGAGACCTGTTCAAAAGGAAGATTATATAATTGTTAACAAATGTCACCTCACATATCAAGAAATGAGTTCAAAAGGTCTGTTACATCTTGTTTGTTCAAACAAAGAATTATATATCAGACTTCCATATTTATGGCTGTGGATATTAACATCATCAACTTCTCAGTATAAAGCATTTAAATTTTGGGATAAGATGATCGATCCAAAACAAATATATTTTTGGGAAAATTGGGAACATTTTAATGTTAATTTCTGGGCACTTCGCCTGTGCTTGATTTCATCAATTTCAATACAAGCTACTTGGGAAGATTTGCTACCAGGAGTACTCATCTCTTCTGACTGGTTAGAAAAGCTTGATTGTCCTATCATTATACCAAATTATGAAAAAGTAGAGGTTAAACATCTCAACAAGCAATATCCTTGGTCAGAGAATAAACATGATACTGTTAATCCATATGATTCTCATATTGTTTTTCTAAATGCAATGGGTTCACCATTTGATGGATTTTCGTTCATTAGATTTTATCACATGGATAACAATGAACCTAAGATGACACTCATAGCATTGCAAATGAAATGGGCTAACTGTAATGTAAATACTCGTCAAACTATCACATCTTCCATGATAATGGAAGAATATCGTAAGGTTTATGGTGCAGTAAATAAGATACCTGGCGTTAATGATTGGCTGTTATTAATATTGTCAAATTGTGTATTTAAACCTGGAGAATTGCCTAGAAATTGTGCGCTTGTTTATAATTGCAATTTCAAAGACTTTTATGGATATGTTTTTGCAAGTAGAGCCACTTTCACTGCTTCTGTTGATGTGATAAATGTCAATTCAGCACATGATTGGGAGTTAAAATTTTTACATGGTGTAGGAATGAAAACTGCAAAAAAAATCATTGATGAACGAGCTCTTGGACCTTTTACAGATTTTAATGATCTGAAAAGACGTGTGCCAGAATTTCCTTTAAGTGCATCAAAGCGTATAAGAACTTGATAAAATTTTATTTTACTGTCAATTGTTTTTTTAGAAATAACAATAATTCATTTTGGTATGATCAATAAAGCATAATGATTGTTGG